CATGTAAATTTATAATCATGGCCAGCTTACCTCTCATTCTATTCCAAAACGGGAAAATAAAACTTTCCTAATTTTGCACTTATTATTAATATAATTAGAGCCAGGCTAGCGATACTTTTATCTATCTATTACAGACATATTTGGCTGAAGTTGTAACCCTTGATTGAGTTGTGCTAGAATTATACAAAAGCGTACCTACGCTTAATACCTACACAATTTCGCTGATGGTTAAAACCAAGGCAGTATATATAGTTCAAACTTTTGAACAGCTTTTTCATGTGTTTATTGCAGTGTGCGCCGAAAAGAAAAGATCAGCTTTCCAAGTAATTCCCTCTGCAAATCGCATGCTGTTTTTAAAAATGCTCTTACAGTCGAGGGCAAACTTAAAAAAAACGGACTATAGTTCAGAAGGAGAACAAGGAAATTAGAACAAAATTTGAACATTCAGCTCAGGAGTAGGGGAGAGTGGGGTAATTTGGCCGGTGGTGTAAATTGGCCGCCCCCACCTGTACGGTGTCTAATAAAAGTGAGTGAAATAACTCTAGTCTCTATTCATTTGTCATGGGTAGAAATAACTGGAGGACAAATGTCAAAACTTTGCCCCTCGTAGTTTTATTCAAAATTAATAAAACGTTAATTTCATTAGAAAATGGTAACTTTTACTTCTGTTTACAAAGTTGTATAACATGTAGTATTTGGGCTAAAAACGACTTCAGACATTATAGCGCCATTCTTGGGGGTGTTCAGCGTTTCCAAGAGCAATTTCATCGAATTCCGTATAGCCGTGATGACTTTATACACACAAATTTTTAGAATGGCAATATGGGGTAATTTGGCCGGGACTAGCGGGGCAACTTGGCCGGTGCGCTCATGGTCACTATGCTGGGACGGCCGAGTTTTCATGGGCAATTGTACCATAAATGACATGATTCATGGCCAACTTTGACTCCTTTGATGCCTTACTTCCGATTGGTCAACTGTAAGAGCATGTGACGTCATCAAAGGTTACCAAAAGTTTTTTGCTAATAAATCCTTACATAAAAATGGTACAGCCGCACAAATGGTCTCATTCTGTTCAGCTCGCCAAGGCGCATCGAATGATATGCATGATGACCTTGATATCACGTGACCTTGAGGTCATGCGACCTGAGGTAACTTGACCTGAGGTCAACCTTTGACCTTGACTTCTCGAGGTCAACACTTATATGTTTCGATGCGGAATGACGAGAGAATTACGATGGTACTCGAAGTTTTGGCCTAGCTTGATTACTTCAAAAGTTATTCGTAAAAAACTGTCTTCGCATCTAGAGCCGCTAATTTGGCTATTTTGACCCCTGTGACCCCACGAGTCAATCTCCAAAATGTGGTAAATGCGTCATAAGACACACGTCATTGCTGAATCTGAAGCTGACTCGCAATATAACAGAAAAGCCCGACCGCAAACTAACACCGGCCAAATTGCCCCACACCCCCGGCCAAATAACCCTGCTAGTGGGGCAATTTGGCCGCCTTGCAGACCTTTGTAATACGTCACAATTTCAATATAAGTAATTACTCTATCATTTCAAGTTCACTGTCCAGTAAAGTAAAATGAATGCAACACCTGCCAGCGTTGAGAAAATGCAGAAATGTGTCGTCAATTTTAAGTTACATCGTTTTCTAAAAAAAAGCGGCCAAATTACCCCACTCTCCCCTATTTCACGACGGCCATCTAGGCATCTAGTACACATTTCGTGCAGATCAGGTGCACATTTGGTGCAGATTTGTTCAAATTAGATGAGCATTCGCCAGGAAGCCCTCCGTAAAAACGGCTATTATCCGCTCGTTTCCAGTCTTTTTGTTATTGTAAACGTTCAAACATGTGAAATGATGGCATGGTCCCATGCATTATGGTGGGTGTCATTAAGGTCACGTGAAGGTCAGGTCAAGATCATTGACCTTTGATGACCTTAGTTCACTTCTTCTGGGTTCATATTAGTGATGTCAATCGGTTACCGAAAATTTCGGTTACCGAAAAGATATGCTGACCGATTCGGTAATCGGTCCCCAAAAAATCGGACACTTTCGGTCACCCTGCCAGTGAAACCATTTTCAAAAAGAGGAAGTATTCCATTTTTGCCTAGTTAAAATGAAATTTATTGGGATGTTAATGATAAAGAATTGCAAAATTTCCCCCAAAAGCTACAAGAGATGCCACATTTTGGCAACTTCAGTACCCATCCTGATCCCACCCAGCAGGCAGCAGCCACCGATTGTGCAACCACAACTACAAGCAGGCTGATTTTGACTCAGTTGGCCCCACAAGTACACACAATTTCGAAACTCAATTCCAGTCTAACTGTTAAGATATCACCTGTAATCAAAGAAGTATTGCCTACAAAAATCATAGAGTCATCAAAAATGCAAGGACAAAAAGAACTTGAATTACTGAAATGTGTTTCTGAAGACTGGACAGTTTGAGTTAGCACTAAGCACTTAGCAGTGATCACATTTACATTTCACAGTGTTCTACTATTCCACATTCTCCTTAAATATTGCAGGTACCAACCAAATGTTTGAAATCTAGATGACCACAACATAAAAACATAGGAATCTTGATGAAAACTACAGATGGCCATGTCCGCTTTCTGGAATCGTCCACACCATCTTCAAACACAATGGATTTCGAAACAGTTGCGCCATAACAGACTTTAAACCAGCTGATTAAGTTGCTGCAAAAAAGGTCTTGGATTGCCTCGTGAATGATTTTATTGATGTAAATGGTCCAACACGATATTGAATTCTAATGAAATCAACATTGTAAGTGTAATTCACTACAAGAAAATTAATTTCACTTCAATAATTCAACCAAAAGGGCATATAAATAAATATTACGTCATCGTCTTACATCCTTAACCCTCGCCCGTATGGGGGGGGGTCGAACGGACCCCCCCCCATGGTTTTTCGCGAATAACACGCGTAAAAAGCGGCCGATCGCGACGAATCTTTCAGTACCCTCGCGTTCATCAATTTCACACCTACCCTGAAAATTTCATGACCCTGACCCAAATGACCTTTGACCTGTGACCTACTTTTCGAGACCATGTTTGGCTGGAATCGCGATTCGGCGTATGTCGGCTCGCATTAGCCGCGCGTTTGCAGTCTTTTCGTGGTTTCAAGCGTTCAAACATGTGATATGATGCTGCCCCCATGCATTAGGGTGGGTGTCAAGGTCACCTGAAGGTCAGGTCAGGTCATTGACCTTTGATGACCTCGGTTCACTTTTTCGAGTTTTACATGTTTCTAGGCCAGTTTTTGGAGCTGAATTCGAATTTAGCAACCATATGAACATTTACGAAGTAGTTTTGGTGCCTTCGTAACATATTACGAAGCTGTCAGAGGCGGTTGCTACCTACTACGAATACCCTTACTGGTTGACCTGACCTGACCTGACCCGACCTGGCCTAAATACATGAAGACATCATCTGTGATCAAAACTAACATGATATTCGTGATCAGCACCCCGAGAAACCCCATAGCAGCCACACTTTACGACGTTCTAACAGGTCCCGATTTTCCCGCCTTTAGGGTCATTGACCTGACCTGCAAGGTCAACCAATGACCTAGGACCTTAAAATTGGGTATCATCGGCTTCCTCTCGTCACGGCCAACACGCTCGTTTTTTCTGCGAAGCTCTAGCTCGATCAGGGGCGAAACGGCAAGGGGGGGGGGGGTCCAACGGACCCCCCCTTATACGTTCGCGGCTGGAAAAACACCAATACGGGCGAGGGTTAAGTTAGGGAAGAGAGTATCTTAAAAGTCAATCCTTGGTTCTACTTGGGTTCTACTATTATTTTGCGCCACTTTATATTAATTTTGTCTGCATATGTAAACTGTGTTTGAGTCTTAGGTCCGAAAGCCGATATCAAAATCACATGTTTGCTATATTATGTCCAGGTAGGTTCATGAGGGAATTTTTTACGTTCCCCCTACCGGCCCCGGATGACGTCACTGGGATGCTCCCGCCGCGGCCGGCCTATGTATAGAGCATTACTACGGGCTTTCCGGTGGCATTTTTTCGTTTTATAACGCCCAAAAAGCTTTCGCGAGCACTTTTCGCACGAGAAATGGAAAATATGTCGCATTTCAAAGGGAGTAATAGTGATATAAGGTCACGTCCAGGAAGAGCGGGCCGAAACCAGCGAGGCTTGTATGGGTCCCAGGGCGCAGGGTTATGGAGTCGGACCGGACTTTTGAATAGGATTGTCGGAGTCGAACTGGAGCCGTAAGCGGAGTCGGAGTCGATTTTGGAAGTTAAAGCAGGATTCAGAGTCGAAGTCACCAAAAATTCATCGGTTCCGCAGACTGCGGAGCTGCAGGGCTGCGAAGTCTGAGCCGGAATCGGTCAGAATAGACAGTTCTCCCGGACCGGAGTAGGAGTCGGAATTAGTTTTTGGAACTAGGAGTCGGGAGTCACCGAAATTACATCGACTCCGCTGCCCTGCTAGTGCGCTCAGGACGGATGCACTGAAATTGCATTGCTGAAAAAAAAAATCGAATAAACATTGCCACTAAATATTATAAGTTTCACCTACGGGTGGCCGTTACTCACAGCTGGTGGTACAATATTGAAACGCACAGCCGTTACCCAATGCCGAGTCGCACAGTGAGTCGCACAGCCGTTACACACAGCCGGAAGCACCATGCCGAGTCACACAGCACCAACAGATCTGGGCGTACCACACCGAGTCGCACAGCCGTTACACACAGCCGGAGGCACCATGCCGAGTCGCACAGCACCCACACAGAGCCGGCCGTACCACACCGAGTGGCACAGCCGTTACACACAGCCGGGGGCACCATGCCGAGTTGCACAGCACCAAAAGAGCCAGCCGTACCACATCGAGTCGCAAAGCCGTTACACACAGCCGGAGGCACCATGCCGAGTCGCACAGCACCCATACAGAGCCGGCCGCACCACACCGAGTCACACAGCACCACGCTGAGTCGTAGTCGCTACACGATCCGGTTTACCAGCTCACCTAGAGCTCCTTGCATGATGGCCAACTTTTCTATCGGCTCTTTTCAGCTGCCGGACCTCGTCGAGTCAGGCTAAGGGACCGAAGGGGGAGGTGGAGACGGGTGCTCGCCAACTTCCTGGACACGCGGGTGCCGAGCTGAGGCTGCTTGACGGCGATGAACAGCTTGAGACGCTGTATGACTCGCGGCCCCTGATCTGCAGTTGCCCCCATCAGCAGGCAGAAGTTCCGCTCGAACTCCTCCACAGCGGCCATCCAGGCTTGTGACAGAACAAACAGCTGGCCTCGGCTGATCGTCACAATTCAGCTGTTCGGCAGGGTGCATGGATCCGAGTGATGGATCTATGATCTCAGTGGATCTCGAAGCAAAGTACAGATTGGGATTAGAGTTGCAAAGTTTCCCTACCGCACTACCGGCATGCCGGTAAATTTTCACTACCGCAGGTTTTTTCGTGGTATCTGGCATGTCTTGCCGGTAGCATGCCGGTATTTTTGATTTTGCACAAAAATAGAAAATATCAGCATATGGTTTAAACTTTGGGCACTAAGAGGCTATCAAATTATAATAACAGCAATATTAGCCACTGCAAAATACATTTTGTGGTAGAAGTTACATTGCTAAGGGTAGGGATAACACATGGACCTCAGCGATTCACAGGTTTCGTTATAATTAGGATTGTCAAGAATCTACTGTGGTCAATAAATTGAAGAATACTTATTGATGCTGCAAAAGCTCGATCAATCAGTAAGTCTAATGGTATGTAATAGGTAAAATACAACAAAATAAATAAATGTTCATGACAACGTTCCCTAGAGGAAAAGGCAGAATCAAAACACCACAAAACACATTGTTTGGAAACTGGCCTTGAGTCCTGAGATGTGGTCTGAGATACTCTACAAAGTATTTGACACTGAAAATCCAGCTGAAAAGGCAGGCATTAGGTAGCCCTGAGCCTGACTTTGGTCCCAAAAATGAAATGAAAATCAAATAAACTGGCATTTTGTCTCATCTTTACAAGAAAACACCATATGCATACAAAATAAACAAAGTGGCGCAGAATAACAGGGGAACCAAGGATTGACTTTTTAGATCTTCTGTCCCCTGATGGAAGGATGGAAGATGATGACGTAATATTTATTCGTATGCCTTTTTGGTTTAATTCCTGAAAGGGAATGCATTTTCTTGTAGTGAACTAAAATCACAATGTTGATTACATCAGAATTCAATATCGTTTTGGATCATTTACATCAGCAAATCATTTATGAGGCAGTTTGCTACAGTTCGGAAACTTTTTTTTGCAGCAATTTAATCAGCTGGTTAAAAGTCTCTGTTATTATGGCGCATCTGTTTCGAAATCTTTGATAGTTGATAACCTTGTGTTTGGAGAGGAAGATTCTTCGAGAAAGCGGGTATTATATCGTTTTTATGCATATTATTTGGTGACTGTTCTCAGGACAAGTGAGTTTTTCACATTTTTCAAATGATTCGTATCTTATTCATGAGCCAGCAAGCCATGGCGAAAAGGAAAAAAGGTGTTGATCTCGCTTCCTCAGGCACATGGCCGAATCTGTAGGTACTATTTTATGTTGTGGCCATCTAGATTTCAAAATTTGATTTTGGTTGGTAGGTTCCTGCAACATTTTAGGAGAATGTGGAATAGTAGAACACCTCTGAAATGTTAATGTGATTATTGCTAACTTGAACTGTCCAGTCTTCAGAAACAATTCAGTAATTTAAGTTCTTTTTGTCATTGCTTTTTTATGCTTTTTTCTTACTGCTTTTTTGTAGGCAATACCTCTTTGATTACACGTGATATTTTAACAGTTATAGACTGGAACTGAGTTTCAAAATTGTGGGTATTTGTGGGGCCAACTGAGCCAAAATCATCCTGTTCGTAGTTAGGTTGGACATTGGGTGGCTGCTGGGTGGGAACTGGGATGGGTACTGAAATTGCCAAAGTGTGGCATCTCTTGTAGGGGTGAGCTAGAATCAACATTGCAGGTTTTTTTAGTATGCCGGTAATTTGGTGGTGTTTTTGCTTGGGTCGTGGTAGCATGCCGGTATCCCAGAAAATTTTTGTGGGGCGGGGCGGTGCCGGTAGCAGCCTTTGGGGGAAGTTTTGCAACTCTAATTGGGATCTATGATCCCACCGGATCCGGCGTGAAAAATACATCTTGGATCTGTGATCTCATATGATCTGACGATAAATTATGAACATGGATCTATGTTCTGAGTGGATCCCACCATGCACCACATTTGATACCATGTTTTAAAGGGTTTCTTTGCCAATAAGTGACACAAAATTATGGATTATGATGTGCGATCACATAAAATCACTAAAACAGAACGTTTGTGAGTTGAAACAAGTGCTTTTTTGGGATATATGTGTTGACAAAAAATAAGTAAGGATCTATGATCTCACTGGATCTCAGGCAAAAAATGAGACTCGGATCTGTGATCCCTACGGATCTCTCGATAAATTACATAGCTGGATCTATGATCCCGTCGGATCCGAGATCAAGATCCGTGGGATCAGATCCCAGATCCATTTTCCCGGATCCATGCACATGTCCGGTGTTCAGTGTCTCCGGCGGCGCCCGAGAAGTCAGGAGACCGACTACCGAGGGTGGCGTCGATGTGGTGACACTTGTATGCCACGAAGCCGGCAACAAATGCCAGCCCCTCGCGCTGAGCTTCCAGGTTGGAGCTCGTCAGCTCGGCGCCGGCCATGGCTGCCAGCGTCGACACCGGCAGCGGCACTGTGAAAGCAGCATTAAGCTACATCACTTGAAAGACATTGGCAATTTAATATTGTGCAAAAAAAAACGATAACACTTAAATGAGCCTAGTCTACGGCCTACGCATTAACCCTATTAGTGGCAGGCTCCTGGCTACCCCATATTAGTGGCAGGGGGGGGGGGCTGTTTACGACCCCCCTTGATATCTCGAGATCTAACCGGCCGATTTTCAAAATTCAAACGGCATTCGATTTGGCTCAACGAGATCTACATTTCTAAAAAAATAAATAATAATAAAAAATGTCAATAGGGGGGTAGAGGGGGGTAAAAACGAGCAAATTGCAGATACATTTTAGACTGTTTATCACGGCCAGGTTTCTGAACCAATCTTAACGCAACTTTTGCCGATCGACAGAGAATGAACCAGGAATTCACATGGATCCTAAAAATATGCATTTTCAAAAATCATAGGCGGATACAGATCATTGAGATTGGGGGTACACAAAAAGTATAGTAAATAAGGTTGTTGTTGGTAATGTTTCTAAAAAGCGTGGCAATGGTCTTGTTATGTTACAATTTTCTTATGAGAGAACGACTAAAATTGTATTGGTCATGCATAGGCGGTGTCAGGGCACCTATGTTGGGAGGTAAAAAATAACCCCCTTTTTGGACGCCTGGATCCGCCTATTATAGCAAAAACGTGTCAAAAGAGGATGCACAATAACTTTGTATATGTTATCACATGATACCTTTCATTCACTGTTCGTAAAACTGGTGCAGCATCGTGATCTTCGCCAGCATAGGTCATTATCAGAACATTTAGTGGATGTGACTTGAGACATCATCTTATTGGATTGAGTGGCCTTATCCCAACAAAAAAGTTACCATTACTCATGGCAAAAAGAATGTTTTAATGCATTTTAACAATGGGAATAAAAATGATGGTGTCGCTCAAGACGGGCCAGAATTTTTAACACTGATGGATATTTGTGAACACTTTTAATGTGAATGAAAACATAAACCATTAGACTTACTTGTCAGAGGTGCCTGCTGGCTGATCTAGAGGTTGCTCGCAGGTTGCTCCCAGAATCTCCTTGACCTCCTTTCTTTGCAGTGGTCCTCCTCAGGGACCTACTCGCCCTCGCCTCAGCTTTCCTGTACAGGGTGTCTCAAAAGTTCGTTCACACATTTCCCATGCCAATAAAGCATATAAGAACCGGCCAAAAGTATAAGGTTTTGGTGTCTGTGTGTACGGCTCTCCAGTAAAAGTCTTGTTGGTTTTGCTTTTTCGGACATATCTGGTCCTATATAATGTTCAAATGCATAAGTATCAACCCGAATTATGTGTATGCACATTTACCACGAGACTGTGAAATTGCATCGTTGTATGCCAAATACTTTCCGAGATATTCACCAAAAACCTCATTTTCTGCCGTTTGGGGTATTCTGGCCGCAATCTTCCTGGGATCGCCTATGACATTAGTAGAGCCATCTAGCGAGAGGAGCGCGGAAACACAGAATCATGAATGAATCGCGCGCGTAGTAAACGGTGTATGAAAGGGAGACTCGGCAGAGGCTATCCGGGTGGCCAGCGCGCGGCGCGCCCTTAGGCATCGGCCGACCCTTCGGACCGCGTGGGGTCAGAGGTCGCGCTCGGGAAGTCTCGGCTCTGGGTTTTAGCGCTGTGCAGTTAGGAAGGGAGGATAGGATAGGGCTAGCCCGACTGACTACTGTGAATAGTATCTCGGCTGATTCGTGTGGGGTGGAAGGGAGCACAGAACGGGATGGTGGCTAGTGGTGGATGATGGGATGTTGGTTAGGTTATAGTGCGTACTGCGTAGAACGTAGCTGAACATGCATTGTTTTTTTTTCATGGCAAACAACATGCAGCATAATGTGCGGGATTATGCCAGAACTCATACAAAAAGGAAATAATATTTCGGCCGAGGAAGTGGATGAGTGCCGTGACAAAGCATGACGATGTTGCCAAAATCGGGATACTTTTTTGCCCCCCCCCCCATTTTTTTACCCCTAACATGCAGCGCTTGATCCGAACTTAAAGGTCCCCGACTGACCTTATACCTTAAAATCGCACCCGCCCGGTGCGCCACCTTTTCTTCAGGGGCGCTCTTCTTGGTTGTATCTGTTCTTACCAATAGGTAAGAACAGATACAGTAAGAACCTAACCTAACTAAAGCAAATCGAATGTATAATAAAAAAGGCATACCTCAAACACAGTTTTATTCACACCCGCTCGTGTGCATACTTATTTTGACCTATACCTTCTCGCATCATAATATATCACTTCAGTGCTTAACCCTCAACGGAATTTTGGGTTTCCTGCATATAACCCGGCCGAGGGGGGGGGGGGCGATTACGACCCCTCTCCGTCTTTTTACCCCTAATTGAGCTAGCGCCTTGCGGATAAAATTGAGCGCGTGCGTCGTATGAGATGCAGCAACTGGTACCCGAGTTGAATGTCTCAGGTCAACCGATAAACTCTGAGGTCAGTACAAGTGCTCCAAGTCGCGGGATCGTTTTTTGGTAAACAACTTCACCATAAGTGGTTACAGAGCCAAGATCATGGCACCATCGAGTTGTGCATGCTCAAGCGCGTCGAATAGTATACGCTTTGTTTTTGTTGAGGTCAATTTAATGTGTTCACATCAGGTCATGGTCAGGGCAGAGCCACTCAGGCCACGAAGCTGGCCCAAGGAGGTCATATCGCTTCTTCGATTCGGTAGGTCCTCACAAGTCCACTGGTGGCTTCCCGACTCGCTAGCTCAATTTGATCGGGACTTTTTGGTGAAAACTCCTGCAACAGGGTGTCCGGAAAGTCCTGGCGCTTTTCAACATTTTTGAAATAAATGCCTTTGGTCCATATATACTCAGCAATAGAACAAAACAATGACCAGGAACACCAAGCCACATGCTTGTGCTAAGCGCCCATTCATTGAAACCACCGTCTGTGCCGACGACGGTCTCGACGCAAGGGTGGAAACGCCTGCGGCTTTTGACGATGCAGGACATTTCCTGTCCTCCCATGCTGTCATGATGCGAGTCTTCAGCGACTCCCCAGGCTGAGATGAGAGGTGGCCGAGAGCTTATTCTGCAAAACGCGTAGCATGCCTTAGTTGAGCGGGTTAAGGCTGGGATAATAAGGTGGCCTTATCTCATTTCACCACGGTGATCTGGTCTTCCGAGCTCCTCTGTCAGTAGTTGGTTTGGACGGCAGCGGCGTTGTTGGAGGGCGCTCCATGCTGTTGAAGTGCGAAATGACTCTTTCGTCGACAATCAAGGCGACGACCCTTAGGGCACGTCGCCTTGATTGTCGTGTCCACTGTCCAGGAACCCCTCGTGGACCAGCCTGTCAGCCATTTATTTAACCTTGACGAAGATGATGGAACATTTGTGCCCATCAGACCCCAGATTTTCTTCGATTGCCGCTGAAATGCCGCTTCAGTCACAGCAGCTTTGGCATACCGTGGTCGTAACTAAGTGATAATATTTTCTAAGAAATTTCCGAGCCGGAATGCACCTTTGCCTGCTCAACCGTTCGCCGGGAAACGCCGCATCGCGCTGCAACTCGCGCCTTGTTCAAGCCGCACCGGGCTCTCAGAGACAAGCCGCATCTTCGCCCATATACCTAGCACTGAAAACGATTCAACGTCATATTTACGCGACCCTTAGCTGAGCGGTGAACGAGGGTTCATATCTGCGGTGATTGGTTGAAAGTCCAATAATCACAGTGCGCGTTAGACGGCGTCCAAAAGAGGCGCCAGAACTTTCCGGACACCCTGTTCGCGCACCGGGAGATCGTTCCGGTTTCGTTCATGCGGTCACCATTTCTCTCACAGCGGCTGGCGACCAGCTTGAAAACCGCCGAGAAGCACGAGTGTGGCCGTATCATGACCACGGGCATCGCCATCATGTCGGTCTGTGTTTGTGTTAAGCACTTTTCGGAGCGATAAAAGAAGAAAGTAAATATACGAAATACAAAATGTTTGCCTACTAAATTATGACATAAATTGAAATTTGTAAGATGCAATGTTAGCTTTTCAGAACAAAACAAGATGTAGGAAAAAATACCTTGTTTGTGATCACCAGAAGCGAATTTTGCCGTTGGGAAACTGGTTAAAAACAGCTGAAAAGTGATAGCACGGATTGACTTCAGTTAACTTTCCGGAGTCGGAGTCGAGGCAGCTGGACCGACTCCGACTCTGACTCCTGGCTGCTTGCCACGACTCCGGGCGACTCCGACTCCGACTTCGACTCTGACTCCGAATCCGACTCCGAAACCCTGCCTCCTACCCTCAGTTTTTCGCAAATAACTCGCGCAAAAAGCGGCTGATTGCGACGAAACTTTCAGTGCCCTCGAGTTAATCAATATTACGCCTACCCTATAATTTGTATGACCCTGACTCAAAAGACCTTTGACTTGTGACCTGTTTTCCAGGACCATGTTTTGCCGGAATCGCGAATCGCGTTTTGGCGTATTTCGAGTAGAGCGCGTTTTATTGTCTTTTTGTGGCTTTAAGCGATCAAACATGTGAAAGGATGTTGATCCCATGGATTCCAGTGGGTATCAAGGTCACGTGAAGGTCAGTCAGGTGACTGGCCTTTGATGACCTTTGTTCACTCTTTCGAGTTCTATATGTTTCTAAGGTAGATTTTGGAGTTGATTTCGCCTTTAGAAACCGTTTGAACATTTAAGAAGTAGTTTTGGTTCCCTCGTAACATGTGACCTGACCTGACCTGACCCGACCTGGCCTAAATGCACGAAAACATCATCTGTGATAAAAAGCACTTGAAATTCGTGATCAGCACCCCGCAAAACCCTATAACAGCTTCACTTTACGAAGCTCTAACAGGTCCCGATTCTCCCGACTTTTGAGTTATATTGACCTGTCAACCAATGACCTAGGACCTTAAAATTGGGTATCATCGGCCTCCTCTCGTCACGGGCGACACGCTCTTTTTCCGAGAAGCTCTAGCTCGATCAGGGGCTGAACGGCAAGGGGTCCAACGGACCCTCCTCCCCCCCCCCCCCTTTACGATAGACGCTGGGAAAACACCAATATGGGCGAGGGTGAAAATACAGCTGCTGTCATAAAAATTCAGCTTGAATCAATGGTCACGCTTGCCAAATTTCAGCTCTCGCAGCTATCAACAGTCAACACAAATAAACATATGGACTGTGGAGGCGGCACCCGCCTCCCCGCCCCCCCCCCCCCCTCTCCTCTCGGCCACTGCCAGCGAGGTTTTAAGCGTATCATACACGTTACAAAGCATCATATCAAGATGACACACCCCAGCAGCCATATGCACTGAACGAAAGCTTATTACCCACGCTAGTCTATCGGCACCATAGCATATGGTCGAGACTGTCGTCAGCCATGCCGGACGCGCACTCGACCAACCCTCTGAGCCCGTTGGCTGCGGGTGACCTTGACATGTCAAGCCTGATCGGCGGCCGGCCGCTGTCGTGCGGTCGTTACACGCGGAGGGGAGGGAGACACAAAGCTCTACGTTATAGCCGACCTCTGACCTTTCCCTGCGCCCTGGTCACTGACCCCGCTCCATGTCGCTGGGCGGTGGCATGGCGGTGGAAACCGGTTCTAGCCTCTACACATGCCACCATTCTAACCCTCCCCTCCCCACGCTACTACGCGGCGTGGAGTACGCTCGTGCGTAACTGGGCGGAGCAAGGGGCCACGCGATACAGGGGCGGAACTGGTTGCCCTCCCGCTCGCCGAGCGACCAACGACTAATACCCTGGAGAACCGTACACTAGACAAATATGCATGCTTTGACAACTGATTAAGAAGGTTGGAAACCAACCCCTTTGCTGTATCTCCAAAAATATTTGCCCATACCGATTTTTGTTGCTCCGTCAGCTGCCGGAGGCTGATAAAAGGTTACCAGCTTTCAAGCTCTTGCAGGGGAATCCCCTGCAGTTTCTGCGTCGGATTTAGTTTTGACTAGCTCCCCGGCAACATCTGATTTTCCCTGAAAGCCGACAGCTTGCATCGACACCGTTCTTGAGTATTTTGTAGGCATTCTCTGGCGCTAACTCCTTCATGAATGACTGGCGCCGACATCCCAAGCGCCATTTTCCTTTTCAAAACGACCCCAGTCCTGAACAAACGGGAAGTGCCAGGAGTAAATTTTTTGCATCATATGGTAGAAGAATGTGTCGGACGTCTGTTTCTCAGACACATTGTGCAAATTTTGCAAATTCCAAGCGCTCGTCATTCCCCATGCCAAGACCTTCGCTCGGTTGCGGAGTGTTTTCCTCGGGAGATGTTCTGCTTTGTAAACGGCCCAAACCTGTCCATCGTGTGGTTTTATCGGGATTTTGTGTTTAAAAGAAAATTATTCGCTGCAGATATGCCTCTTGAAACTTCGTTAGATAAAATTTTACAATAACTGACACTTTTGGAGGGTCAGGTGTCCTTGGCATTGACGATTTTTGTGTTATTGTCCCCAAAAATTAGCGTTATAGATATTATAAACAATTTTAAATTATAATTTGTCTTTATTTTACGACGACCTGCACTTTTTGCAATTGGGTAACCTCTGTCTGTGACCTTCTTGCCAGTTTTCAATAGTTATGACCGCATTTTCAGCTGCTTTCCGGAACACGAGTCTACTGTCGTGCGAGGGTTGTTCAAAACGCCGTTAGTCTCGCATGGTTTCGTCCTTCAAAAATTTTAGCCACCGTTTTTATGAGATGATCATCCTGTTGCACTCATCCTCGCCGACACTAAGCCATGTGTCATTTCCGACTTAACCATTCCCATTACTCCTGAAACAGAGAGTTTCACAACATACCCGACTTTGCAACCTACATTTTCGTGCCTGACCCATGGTCAGAGGTGAACCCTTTTTGTGAGCTCATGAAGGGTCGAATGCACTTGAAAACAATGAGACCGCTTGAGGAAGGTTGTCACCAATGCCCATGCAAAATTTCGACTGTTAATTTCTTGTTGATTCAGAATTATTGACAAAAAAGCATGGCTGGCACCTGTGAACGAACTTTTGAGACACCCTGTAAACAGAAAACTCTCAGCACAAACAAATTTGGCTAACATCATGCTGACAGTACAAGCAACTAATAAATCAATGTTGAATAAGACTATGCACCTACCCAGTACCCATGAAATAACTTCAGTGACCAATTTGAAAATAAACAATAACACCATGCAAAAACATTTTGATTTCTTTTCACTTTTACAGCTCTGATAACATTGCAACAAAATTGAGATGAACCCAGCCCGCAGTATGTGACCATACTATATACAATTTAAATTTTAATGCTAAAAAGTAAAGAGCTCATTTATATTTCAATTTCCCACTGTGACTGCGTAGCACTAGTTTGTTTACATTGCGTGTTTGCTCTAACCATTTTATTTGTATTTGTTGAGTGTATCATGTTAGGTCAAGGTACTTATGCGCACTGCGAGCACTGAAAAATTATTACCAGCTTAATTGCAAAAATGGAAACTTTAAAAAACGCCAGATTATGTTTAGATCCATTGCAAAATGAATACCTTGGTTGAGGTTCCTCAGCATGATCCCAGCTTGAAATACTTGGTTGTTCTTCATGATATATGAGACGAAACGTAATACAAAGTGTGGTTGCCACTTATGTTTAGCTTTTGCGACCTTCAAACACATGGAAACGTGTTTATATTATTAAACAAACATATTAAAACTTTGCATAACAACCAAGTAATAACACGCAACGGTCGGAAAACACTGCGCCGGTGCGCCAGAATTGACTACATTACTCGAATCTCAGCGACCAATCAGCTTTCGAGCATCCCAGTTACGTCACATTGGCAGCATTTGGTAGCAATTTCCTTGTACGTGTGTCCCTATGGCGATGAACCCCCCCTGTATTATGTAAAGAATAACTCAAAACAGGCACAAGCCCGGCCGGCCCCTGCTCTGCCGACTCTCTCCTCTGGTCTCTGGTCAGCTGTCGCTGCCCAAGCGGGAAGCGGGGTGGCGTTGCCCTAGCAACAGTTGCTAGGAGACGGCCGACGGCCTCCTCCCGCGGACGGATGCGGGCGGCGAAACTCAGCCGTCTATACATATTGTGTTTTCTTAGATTAGACAAAGTGCCAGTTTAATGAATTTTCATTTCATTTTTGGAACGAAATTCATGTTCAGAGCTACCTAATACCTGCCTTTTCAGCTGGATTTTCAGTGTCAAATTCTTCGTAGAGTATCTCAGACCACATCTCAAGACTCAAGGCCAGTTTCCAAGCAGTGTTGATGTGTTTTGTGGTGTTTTGAATTTTGATTCTGCCTTTTCTTCTAGGGAATGTTGTCATGAACATACACCTATTACCAACCATAAGACTTACTAATTGATCGCGCTTTTGCAACATGAATGAGTATTCTTCCTTACATAGACCACAGCAGATTCTTGACAATTCCAATTAACCAAATCTGTGAAATGCTGAGGTCCATGTGTTCCTAGTCTACCCTTAGCAACGTAACTTCTACCACTAATTGTATTTTGCAGTGGCTAGGAATTGGCTGAATTTGGACTGAAATGCCATTTCCCATTATCTTCCATCAGAATTTACCAATTACTTTAATTTTGAGGTAGAGTAATAGCAAATAGAATTTCGGTCAAATTTCGGTCAAATTTTGGCTTGGGATGTTATCGGTCGGTATTCCGTCGAAAATTTTTCCCAAATTTTGGTTTCGGTCGGTATCGGTCAGACATTTTTTGGAAAATGACACCACTAGTTCATATAATTTAGGCTAGTTTTTGGAGCTGATTTCGAATTCAGCATCCTTTTAAACATATACGAAGTAATTTTGGAGCCTTCGTACCATGTCACGAAGCTGTCAGCGGTGTTTAACACCTACTATGACAGCTAGCAAGACGCCTACTGGCTGACCTGACCTGACCTGACCCGATCTGGCCTAAAAACATCAAGACATCATCGGTGATCAAAGTTAATATGAAATTCGTGATCAGCGCTCCGAAAAAAAACCTCATAACAACCTAGCTCTCCAAAGTTTTAACAGGTCCCGATTTTCCCGACTTTTGAGTCACTGACCTGACCTGGAAGGTCAACCAATAACATAGCCCCGCCCTGTGCGTTTGCGGTTAGCAAAACACCAATAAGGGCGAGAGTTAACCCCGCCGCACCTGTTGGTTTTCTACATACGCGCCGGCCGGGGGAGGGTTGGTACGACCCCCTTGTCGTTTTTCGCCCCTGATGGATTTAGAGCGTCGCAGAAAAAAAACGAGCGTGTGTGCCGTTAGGAGGCACAGCAACTAGTACCCGATTTTAAGGTCTCAGGTCAACCGGTGACCTCTGAAGTCAGGTCAAGTGACCAAAGACGCGGGCTCGGTTTTTGATAAATAACTTGTTTTTAAAAACAGTCGCAAAGCGCGATTTTAGCATCAACGTGCTCGCCTTGCTCAGGCGCGTCGAATGGTATACTTTTTTGTTCGGGGGAGGTCAACTTGAGGTGTTGACCTCGGGTCAAGGTCAGGTCAGAGACCCCTAGGTCGCGAAATTGGTCAAAAGAGGTCATGTTGCATATTATTCGATTCGGCAAGTCTCCCTCAGTCCATTGGTGGCTTGACCGACTCGCTAGCTCAGTTTGATCGGGAGGTATTGACGAAAAACTCGTATGACCTTAGTGACATCATAAATGGCGTCACCAATGCAAAATTGAAGCATCTAACCTTGCAAGGAGTGCATGAAATCACGATCCGTGTGCTTAAGAGTTTGAGATCGTTCCAGGCGCCAGAATAGCAGTTTTCATTTTTCTCAATTGACTTATAGTGGTGATGTCACGTGACCGATCTGACCTCATGTGATCTTTAGGAAAAATCCTAGAGGTACAAATTGTGAGACTTCTAAAAGATGCACGTACTGTAAGTTTCATCCCCCTGTAAAAGCTCCTCTGGGACTGAGGGCGCTGCGAAGTTGCGGCATCTGAGGACCGTTCACTTATGACGTCATAGGTCAGTACCCTGACCTGACCTGAAAATATGGTTGGTGTCACAAGATCCGGCTTGAATCAAAGGTCAGGTATGCCTAGATTCAGGTCTTTGTTGCTAGCGTGTTCGGAGCTATCGCGAAAAAAAATAACTAGGGGGGCGAGGATTAAGCTAGGTTGGAGTGGGTAAGTTTGGGTCAAGTAGTAGGCGTCCCACCCGCACCACCTGTTTATAGCAGGTGAATAGTCGACTACAGAATGATGTTCCACTTTTCACAGACAGTTATTTGCCTGGGGTGGTAGGCTGTGCCGCATCACACGGGCTGAGTTCACAAATTATAGCTTAGTCCCAATGCTCACAATCGACCCGCTTAATTGCGTGATAAGCGGCACAACTTAGCGCTCCGGTCAACTGATAGCTTCTGAGGAGTGGAACATCATTCTGTAGTCGACTATACCTAAACCACCAGCGAGAGCTTCGTAGCAAGTTGCATTGGCACCACAACTATACGTACTTCTCAAATGTCTCAACGAATGCTGGATTCGAAATAAGCTAAAAAAATCCCTTAAAATCGTAAAATTTGAAACAGTCACCCGAGGTCACCAAACGTCAATGACCTTGACCTGGCCGACAACTGACAAGTCAACTTGAAACCCATCATGATGCATGGGACAACCATCAGTTCACATGTTGACACGTTTATATGTAATCACATTAGAACTCTGGAAACGCTAAGTGCGCTAACATAAACGGCAAATCATTTCGGTCTGCCATGGTCTCAGAAATCAGATCAAAGGTCAAAGGTCATTGGTTTCAGGCTCATGAACTTTATAGGGAATGTGTAACCAGTAACGTAGATAAGTTCGAGGACACTCAAAGTTTCGTCACGATCGGCCGCTTTTAGCGAGAGATATTCGCGAAAAAACGAAGGGTTTTATGAACAAGATTTTCATTGAACAAGATTGTTGACAGCCCTGTGAAACGAGACTCGATGAATTCTTAAACCCCCTAGTTATTTTGTAACAACCCTAGGTTCGTTGCATACTAACTAGGGAGGTTGCAACGACCCTAGATTCGTTACAACGTCCCGGAACGAGCAGTTATTTTGTAACGTCCCTAGGGTCGTTGCAAACAAACTGATCGTTCAGGGAGGTTACAACCACCCTAGGGTCGTTGCAAACTAACTGAAATCGCATACTCCCTGTAACACATACATGGTTAGTGAGGAAATGCTCAACTCCTGTTTTGTCTCAAATGCACAACGATGTCAACGGCGCAGCAAGAATATTTCAATTAGCACCTGAACAATCCAGCACTAGCTAAAACAAGCCGATCCCTTTCCATTTTTAAATCCTGATAATTCCTTTACCTTTAGATAAGGTCTTAAATTTCACTATTCTACCTGGGTTCATTATTATCAACTTAAGACCGCATTCTGCGTGATGACGAAGAAAATCCATAGCGACAAGGGACAAAGCTCGCTGGTCTTAGAGCTTAATCCAATGCAAACAGGACTAGAAACGAGCACTTTACTAGGAACAAGCATTTTACGGATTAACTAGTGGATAAGAAAAAACGTGATATTCCGCTTTCAGTTTCGCCGAAAACGTGCTCTGCAGTTACATAAAGGTGACACAGTTATGCAAAGCTGCAGCCCACGTTTGGAGAAGCAGGAACTGACCAAGTAATAACAAACCTTAAAGCCGAGATCAGGACCAGGTGACAAATGCATGCAACGAATCGTCCGGCATCGTGCATGCTCCTCGATGCGTCAGAGAACTGCCGTGATCATGACAACGGTGGAACCTGCGATTTAACCCGCGCCCCAGTGGCGGTCTCAGCCAACTTCGCCCTAGTGGTGGGGGGGGGGGCATATGTTACCACCCACCTCTAACTCAAAAACTAAGAGGGCTGCCTAGAAAGACGCGGCAAACAGCAGTCGATAGCTCTCAATGCGTACGTTTGAAAGTAATTCGGCCATTTTTAATCTTAGAGCAATATTGGGGTCACTGGAGGTCAGCAAAGGTCAAAATTTGCCAAATGTCATATTTTTCAGAAAACATGCATTTATCTCAGGAACTATGATAGCCATAAAACGCGTGGAAAAACAATCGATATCTTTTGAACTCTTCTTTCGATAAGTTCATCATCAAAAATGACCTCAGGTCAACGGTTTAGCCTCCAGAGGGCAAAACCTCCAAAAAAAAACTGTTTTTTACTAAAAGTGTTTTTCGACAATAACCTTTGACTAAAAAAGCCACTACATTTCTATTGCCAGAATCGTGTTCCTCTCGCCGAGACGCGTCGAATACACTATAATTTGACCTTGAACGGTCAACTTGAAAATTTGACCTCAGGTCAAGGTCATGACCTGACCGGAAAAGGTCACGTTGCATATCAGTCGATGCGTCTCGGCAAGACAAACACAATGAGACCATCCCCAGCGTTCTATCTCTTTCCAATCGAGAGTTATTGGCAAAAATCTGCTTGTAGCCTCAAATATGACCTCGGATGACTTTTCTAGAGGCAAAAAAGACACCTTGGTCGTCACGGGTGGTCCAAATCATTGTGATTCTTAAATAGTTGGACTGTTCCTATGCGTACACACGGATCTAGAGGCATTTTCATTTTTCTCCATTGACTTATAATGGTAAGGTCACGCCACTGGCCTGACCTTAGGTCATGGATATAAAAAATCCGAGATATACAAATTATAGGCGCCCATAACATCATGCAATCCACCAAGT